AGCCCCACAGAGATTGTTGCAGGACTTCGCGTAGACCCAAGATACCACGTCCTCGGCGCGCGCATGCTGGGATCTTCCACAGCTGCCATTATCACTTTCGACGGGCAGCACGTTCCTTTTTACGTGACGTACCTCAGTGGAGACTACCGATGCAAGCCATACCGGAAGTCCATCCAATATTGCCGAACCTGTGGCGCCCTAGGTCAACGACAAGACATCTGCCCTCAGCCGAAAGCGAACTTCTGCTACAAATGCGGCCACGACAAGGACACCGAACCACATGACTGCCAACCGATGCGCAAGATCTGCGGAGAAGACCATGAGACTGCTGGAAGGGAATGCAAGAAGAAACTCCGCAGCAACCCCCCTCCTTATCAAGTAAGACGCCACCAGCTCGATAACGCCCGCGCCCGTGAGAATCACTGGAGTGCTTGCACCAATGATTTACCCGGGTCAGTTGTCACACCAGAAATTTCACGGGCCCCCTCTTTTCCCCCAAAATTTGACCGAAGTCGCTCTCGCTCTAAGAAAAAAGGTCGCGCTGGATCCCGCACGCCATCACGGTCTCGCTCCGTTAGGGGAATCAGTTACGCCGCCGCGGTAACCGGTAGTGACGGGCCCACTTCTCTAAATACTACAAGTGCCTCGACCATCTCGCCTGCTCAGACAGCGACCATCCGGGCTCTAGAAAATAAAGTCCAAGATCTACAACGGAGGATACAACAACGCCCACCAGCCGAGTGTAGCACACTAGAACTTGACGACAGCATACTAAAACAGACGGAAGCTAGAATAATGAAGCGGGTAGAAGAAAGGCTGCAAGCACATGAAGCGAAGATGCTCGACCTCGTCGAACGACGCCTTGAAGCTTTCGAGAAAGCCCTCACTGCGAAACTCCTCGCATCCATAGACACAACCATAGAGAAAGTGGTTACTAAAATTATGGAAAAGGTAGACCCACTGACCCGTACTGTAAGCATGCTCGACGCCAAGCTTGATGGCTTCATGGCACAACAGCATAACTTCATAACATATGCATACAAAAATTTCGTTACCCATGAGCAGCTGGTAGAGCAATCGGGGACCAAGCGGAAAGAGCGAAAAACTTTAGGGGATGAAACTGCAGCGGAAATTCGATCTACAGCACCAAACGACCGGCACCAGGCGGGAATCAACTGCCAGAATGGCAGCTCCCACACATAGACAGTCTGAGCCACTCCCCACTCTTCGAATTTGGCACTGGAATCGCAGATCCTACAGATCTCGTTCTGCAAACTTGCAAGAATATGTTAAAACAAATAATCCAGATATGATCGCGTTGCAGGAAACCCACACAGAAAAATCAAGCTCCCTGGCTACAGCACTCTCACATGCACACCCCGCACCGCAATTCTAGTCAAGAAGACTCTAACCGCACAGGCTCATGAAATTGAAGACATTGGCATCGAACACACCATCGTGGAGATAATCCCCACTCGGAAGACTCAACAAAGCTTATACCTGGCCAACATTTACAGTCCTCCGCGGGAGCAGTTACACCAATACGACCACTTCGTCCACGAGCTCCGTCAAATGGTTAACGGCAACCGACTCGTCATGGTTGGAGACTTCAATGCTTCACACGCGGCCTGGGGCTATCACAGCACCACCAAGAAGGGGGCGCGTGTTCACGACGCTGCGCAGCAACACGGTCTGACGCTGTGGAATGACTTGCTCCATCCAACCCGAGTTGGCAACAGCGTCTCGAGGGATACTAATCCTGATCTCACGTTCACTAGAGACGTGCACAACGCAACATGGACAAGGCTACCAGACACTCTAGGGAGTGACCATCACATAATTCAAATAGAGGTCGAACAGGCTCACCGCTCGCTCAAGACAGGAAAAGCTCGGCTCACGGACTGGACCGCCTACAGGAATGAGCTTGATGATGATTCGACTATCGGAGACATTGAAGCCTGGTTAAACAGTATTGTAAGTGTTGCTGACGGACATACCAAAACGATACACTTGAACGAGGACAATCCGGCAGTCGATAATCATCTACTTCACCTATGGGAAGCTCGAAGATCGCTTATTAAACGATGGCAACGGCAAAAGCTCAACCGCAAGCTGAAGCGCCGCATCGCCGTACTCACTAGACAGGCACAGGAGTACGCCGAAAACCTTGCGAGCCAGAACTGGCGGTCCTTCTGCGACAAACTTCAAGGGACATTGAGCACAAAGAAGACTTGGCGCATTCTTCGAGCCCTGATTGACGACACCCACACCAAAACTAACCAAAGAAATACAATTAAGCGGCTCATACACTACTATGAGGGCACAGAGCACCAGTTACTCCAAGAAGTTTAAGCAAAACTTTGTGGCTCGGTTAACCAGCAAGCTATCTCCATCAACAATTCGACGCCCAGGGAGTACCGAGGAGCACCGAACGAAGCACTAGACCAGCCTTTCACGCTGGCAGAGCTACACGCGGCCCTTGCTAAGCTTACGCGCAACACAAGCCCGGGAAAAGACGGAGTGACCAATAAGCACCTACGACAGCTACCACCCCGGGCGTTGACGGCGCTCCTTCGGCACTATAACGACTGCTGGAGGAAGGGCGAGCTACCGCAAGCCTGGAAGCACTCAGAGATGACCATGGTACCCAAGCCAAACAAGCCAATCTCGATTACGAATCTTCGTCCCATTTCCCTTACATCTTGCGCTGGGAAACTCTTTGAGCACATGGTAAACGAGCGGCTCACCACACATCTCGAAGACAATGGTCACTATACGAACACCATGTTCTGCTTTCGCCAAATGCTCAGCACACAAGACGTCCTCTTGCAGATAAAGGAAGATATTCTTCTCCGCTTGAGCAAGCACAGTAAGTCATCTGTTCTAGCTTAGGACGTAAAGGGCGCATTTGACAATGTGAGCCACGAAGCCATTCTGCGTAGCCTGGAAGATGTCGGCGGCGGTGCCAAGACATACGCCTATATGCTGGCTTTCCTCACCAACCGCACTGCCACTGTAGGGATTGCCAATATCAGGAGCGAGCTTTTTCAACTCCCTAACAAAGGCACGCCGCAGGGCTCAGTGATATCACCAATGCTTTTCAACTTGGCCCTCCTTAAGCTCCCTCGTCTCTTGGACGCTGTCCCTCGGATACATCACGCGTTATACGCCGATGATATCACTATGTGGACAAGAGGTTCAAGCACGGGTGAACAGGAGGACCGACTTCAAGAGGCGATTAACATCACTGAAGGATATCTCAAGACCTGCGGCCTCCAATGTGCTCCGGAAAAGTCGGAACTGTTAGTACTTGCGGCACGCACCCGGGGTAGACCACCAAGCTACGACACTCCTGACCCCCAAGTCTTTCTACAGGGAGTCCAAATACCACAAGTTGACACGCTTCAAGTCCTTGGACTACACATACATAAAGATGGGTCTGGCTCTGCTGCCCTACCCCGGTTGCAGAACACTGTGACACAGCTCATCCACCTAATCCGAAGGGTGGCTAATCGCCACAGTGGCTTCAAAGAGCACGACACCCTAAAAATGGTACAAGCTCTTCTTTACAGCCGCATAACGTACGGAACTCCCTACCTCAACCTGAAGACAGCGGAGAAACAAAAACTTAATCTGCTGATACGAAAGGCTACAAAGCTTGCCCTAGGACTGCCGCCAGCCGCCTCCACTGACCGACTGCTTCGCATGGGAGTTCATAATACGTGGGAAGAACTCACCGAAGCACACCTCATCAACCAGGTCGAGAGACTCAAGCTGTCCCTCACAGGGCAAGCCGTGCTTCAACGCACAGGATACCAGACCACTCTAGAACCCAACGAAGAACGCAAAGGCAAAATACCGTCACAGCTGCGAGAAAGCCTTGAAATTCAGCAGATCCCTCGGAACATGCATCCTTAACATCACCGAGAAAGGCGCCTCGCCAGGGTTAACATGATCCGGAAAAAACAAGGCAATGACCCGCAGGCGCGATACGTGGACGCAGCCAAATATCCGAGACGTAATGCCTTCGCGATTACCGTCGCAGATTACAAGGGCGCGGTACTGGCATCGGCGACTATCCTCGCCAAACGTGCGGAAACAGCTGAAGAGGCTGCTATAGCACTCGCCACCCAGACGAGTGAGGATCCCATCGTGGTCTTTACCGACTCACAAACAGCGGCACGGAACCTGAAAGGCAGGGTCTCCACGGTGGCGATTAGGCTACTAAAGCGCATGCACAATCGTCCTCCCTACACATGCATCGTGTGGATTCCGGGTCATGAAGCTCTCGAGGGAAATGAAGCGGCACACACCGCAGCCCGCGAATGCGTCAACCGGGCATTCCCATGCAAGATCCGAGGCACCTCCCACTCAACAACAGAATCAGACACAAGAGAAGCCATACCACTAACGTACCATGCATTACTGCAACATTATCGGCTCGAACGCAGGTTATACCCCCCGCCACATCCAAAACTCACAAGAGACGAAGGGACTGACTATAGGCGTCTTCAAAGCAACACGTTCACACACGGCGTACTATTGCACCATATGAGGCCAACGTTGCACAGCTACATCTGCCCTCACTGCAATGTGGCAGACACCCTGGCGCACCTCCTACTGCAGTGCAAAGTAAGCGTCCCAAGACTACGAGCAGCAGCACCAGATGCGGACGAAGACCTCCTCAGTGAAGCGTGGGAGGCTGCGATCTCCCAGCCGGACCTGGTCGAGCAGCGTCAACTCGTCGCTCGAGCTCGGCGGGCTGTCCAAGCCAGAGGGTTCCTGGAATAAGGGACCCTCCCACCTTCACTCACAAGCTTCTTTCAATAAATGTTTTCTCTCTCTCTCTCTCCTCAAAGAACTAATGCAGCAAATTTGGTGGTGCTAGCTTTTCTAAGTTAATGTCTTTAGAGTGCATATGACTATAAATATGTGCCACTTTAAGTAGAAAAAAAACAGTTTTAAATTTGGAGGTCGCAAGCATATTTAATTTCTTTCAGAGCCTATTCATCAAGAGGTTTACTGTGGCTCGAAAGGTGCGGAATCACAGAAAATCGAAAACAGCGCATGTCACTGTTCTTTCACCAACCACTGAGATCACAAAGGAGAAGGCTGTTGATTCTAGTCACTTCCTTTATTTCAATGTGTTTCAGGCCTTAAAAGCGACCCATTTGAGCGCCGTGACGCTTGACACGGAAAGGATGCAGGCCCTCCTTAAAGCGACGTACGAAGAATGCTGCAAAAGCCATGATCCACTGTCCCAGTATTTCTTGCTAGAAGAAATTGTAAGTGCAAGTCTATTTCCGAGTCTCAAAGAATGCATGACAAAGAATGCATGCCGGCATTTTCTAATATTCTGCTGCACGGAACAGCAGGTCACTAATATATAAAACTGTGAATTCTATGAATTCTGATCCTACGCTCGCGTCGAATTGCGCCAAGCGATATTTTCTCTACCATCGTGATAAAAGAGCGCGATTTATTGCCTAAATGCACCGAAACGTTGCCCCCGAGACGGCATGCGCAGCCTGATCTCGGAGGTCATGACCAAGATTAGCGACAGCGCGAAACAGATGCGTCAATATATTAGTGCTCTGCAGACGTCACGTGTATCAGAAGCGGCTGATTAAGTTGTGCTGTCAGTTATCGAAATTCTACTTTTCTACTTAAGACGTTTTGCAATCGCACGGCCTGTGAATTTTGTTGCCGTAGTGTGCTCCGCCGTGCAGAATCATGGAGCAAAAGAAAAAAAAAACAGCTTCGGAAGGAGTTCACGAGTCGTGCACAAGCCAACCTCTTCTAAGTGTTTTGTTTCACGGGTCGATTGATTCCGCGCTGGTGGTATATTTGCGCACTTGATCAATAAAAACGGTTTATGCGTGACAGCACGTGTTCATCTACATGAAACGCATGTGGACTCGTGCTTAAGTTGAGGTTTTTGTCCTTCTAAGCTGTATTTGGCGTCACCTGTGCGCCTAATCTCACACTATTTTGAAGCACTGTGTTCTGTATACGACTGCGTCTTGCTGTGAGTGCGCGAATACTCAAATAGTGAGCGGACGAATGATTCGAATCGTGATGATAGAGAGAAAGGGCAACGTGATGGCAGCCTACGAGGCCGTGCCGTCGTCGATGCATTACTTTAGATTCAGGAGAAAGCGCGAGGTCGTTTCGACTGAAGCGCTCATGCAGAGCGTTCTCGGTGCATCATTGCGAGCCACACTGCCCCCTTTTTGCCTGGCCGCGAGTTGCGGCGCTACCATGACCCCTGAGATCGGCTAATCTCGGAGGCCATGGTATATCTAGTATGCGATAGTCGGAATATTCGACGTGAACACCCGCACAGTGCTAGAGGTCGCGTGCGCCGAGGACATATATTCTCTCGCGCTCAAGGTCGTCTGGCGAATGATCCACGTCATTTTCGGCGCAAAAGCAGCCTCGAGCATAACGCAGCCGTAGTGCATGGTCCTTTGTCTGTCGCGCATATTGATCTTGCGGTAATCCACATGCTGTAAACTTGGAATAGCCCTTCCGTATTCTGAAGGAAAACTGGAAAGCAAAATGCTCTATGCAAAAAAGATTCCAGCAAAATGCAGAACTGAGAGCCTCATTGGTATTCAGCACAGCAGAACATCACGCATTCATTAGCATCCTAGCAAAAAAAAAGCACCCTATTTGTTCAACAGGGATGCCATATTATAAAAATGTTTTCTTTAGTTTCGTTACGCTCATGCTAAAAATAATATGGCCTAGCTTGAAAACTTCACGAGATGTATAAACCAAGGTCTTGGCGCTTTTCTCAATCGAACACCAAAAACGTGCAGGCTCTCTGAACGGGCTGGTTGTTATTATTTCAACTTAGGAGAAACAAATTAGTTACCTTCTTTTTTAAATTTAAAGGCACAGGAGTATCGCTCTGGAGCATGCCAGTACTATTTGGAGCTATGCTTGAAAATCTAAGTATTGAAATAGTCTTAAGCAGTGTGCATGCAGTAGCTAAGTGCTCCGAAATGCATATTTAGGTGCTCCAAACTGCTCCAAAACTAACATTTTGTAGCTCCAAATCTCGATTCATGAGGGGGACCAGTGCACTTATCCAATAATTATTTGTTATTAAATCGTAGAAACTATTGTTGTATTGCTTTACTTCCTCATATCATGAGGGATATCAGAAAGAAAGCTTTATTTTGTCGTTAATATTAATCACCACTCTTGCTTTATCTCGACTGTTTTTCTCCAGCTTTGCATCGAAGTCGAGCTTAGGTTTAAAAGCAGCATTGGTGACCTGGAGAGAAAGCTAAGAGCAGTGTCGGAAGCGTTTCCATGCAAAGAACAACGTGAATGCACATTCATCGACATCGTCAAGCACTTGCAAGGCCATTCAAGGCACACGCTTATCAACGAGGTTTGTGGAATGATTACTAGATGCATACACTTATCAATTACTGTTGCATCAAGCGCTTTCTCACAATTTCAATTTCGCGTTGATTATCACAGTAATATAAGAATGCTCCAAATTCTTGTTTTTTTTTTTACGAATCTCACTTGAGTATGCTGATAAAGAATTTTCGCCGTGCTGTTTCTTCATGGCGCTATTGTGATATTTTACAGATGGCTGTACCGGATGACGTGCAAATCAATGCACCCCATGTGTAACCTGTCCTGAACACACTTGCGTTTACGCTGGAAGCGCTGAGCAAATAATCCGGATGGCTAATAGAAAGAGAGAGCGGGCGTTCATTTTTTGCCTGCTGACATATTACATCAAAAATCTTGAGTGCCCGCCTTCTTTCTCACTAGTCCTTGTCCTGCTGCAAACGATTGCCTTGCCGGACACAGCAGTGCCTCGTGGACTGCTCACAAACCGCCTGAAAAATCTTCTTTTGCTCTTGAGAAAGAAAAATGTGTAGCCTTGTACTCCACTTATATTTTTGTTCGTCTTGGTTTTGTGCACCGTTTTGCTGGTTGGATATTATATTGTATATAGGTCACATTGCAGCATATATGAGAGTTGCCTTTTGAGTCCTTCAGAAAGCACGAAGGACATTTTAATAAAGGACGTTTTGAAAGTAACCTTTGTCTTTTCTATTGCTGTATACATTTGCAAAGGTTACATTCCGAAAGAAAAGGGTGTAACCTATATAAACAATATTTAACCTTTTAATTTTGTAACCATTAGAAAGATTACAAATGTAAAGGCTACAAGAAGAATGGCGATTTGGGCTAGTTGGTTTGAATTCATAGGCGCTGCAGCCCTTATTACTATGTAAAGGCTACAGTTGATTTCCTCCTCCTCGACTAGCTCCTACACTAGCTAAGGAGGGAAGATGTTTGAGGTTCGGGATGGGTCCCCTCGATGACTCGAGTGCACGGTGGCAGCATGAAGGAAGAGCCGTAGTTCGGTGAAGAGATGCTCAATTGCAGGCTCAAGCTACTGCCAGAGTCCAAGCCCGAACCACCGCTCCTCTATTTCAGATTCAAACATCCTCTTTTCAACCCTCAGTTAAAGAGTCTTCACACAAACCAATCACATGTTGAGACTCGCATCATCACAACCAATCGCAGAAATACCTTCATAACAGGCACTACATTGGTTAAAACCACGTTACCAAATAAAACACGCAAAGGGATAGGCGCTGCGCGTGTGACACTCTCTCCCATGCCAGGCCGTGCTGCCTCGGTCGGCCGACTTCCGTCGGCAGCCGTTCTCACGCTCGAGCCCCGTCAGCTCTCTCATTAAATGTTGCTTTGTATAAGCCTCCCTAAGAGCGGTCAGTACAACGTTGGGCTCCGTGCGCTTACCAGGTGTGCATGCGACAGCGAGGCGCCCCGACATCCTAACAACAGCGGGGGAGGTTATGCTCGTCTCCCTGCCGCCAGTATGTCTCGGTCAGCCAAGTGGTCACGTCCCCGCGTCATTCTCAATGACACGCGTGCCTGTTAACAATGGCTTAGAACGGTGGCGCCTGACCTGCCTCTTGCCAGACGCTCTTTCGGGTAAGCCTTCTCCTTCTAGTCCCGAACGGGGGTGCCTTTGACAGCTCCACTCGTGAACCGTGCGAACGAAGGACTCTCCTTTCCCGTGCTCGAGGTGTTCCGCGTTCGCCTTCGCGGAACCGATCGGCTTTGCTAGTTGACGGGTCGGGAACTGGCTACGCACTCTACATCAGCCGCATTAATTGTGCTACACACAACACGCTGGTAACTGGTGCCTCATACTAACTGTTACACGTGTGTAACTTTTAGGTTATAGGTGCACAAAAATCTGAAAAAGTCCACCTTTGCATAGGTTACCATATTCAGAGTATATCTCGAACCCAAGCGCCTTCGGCAGTATACATCCTCGCTCCCAGAGACGCCATAATTTGTTCGCAACTGCCAAGGCGCGCCTCGCTAGCATGGACTGCAGTGGGTCTGGGAGTTCCAAATGCGAAAAAGCGCCTGTTCACGCTGCGCCTGCTTATAAAATGCCATCTAGGTACCAATGCGCTGTCATGTGATGCGACAACAACCAGCGCAAGTGGAAGAGATTGCTGAGCACTGCCGGCAGGTTCACAGCGCATCGCGGGAATCGTGCCAGTGCGGTGTTTTGCGATTGCACAGATTTCCGTCCACAACGAAAAACGCCGAGCTCCACCGCCTTAGGATATAATCGCAATCAACAGGAAAAACTACGAGCCATGTGAAGTGTACGAGTAACTAAACTTGTTGTGTTCATTCAAGCGTGACTCCAGCTATTTCACTTTACAGCAGCGATATGCGTGCCGTGTGCCCGTAGTATGAGGCACAAAACTTGCCGTACTCTTTCGCAGGCCGCAAGTCAATAATACTGATGTATCCGTGACGTCACGCCAGCCGAAGCCGCCGTTATCACCACTGCTTCTTCTCCTTCCCTTCCCCTTAATCCCTCTCGCACAACGCTACATTAACCCGCGCTATCGCAATAAAGCTTTTTGTCTTGGCCCAGCCACGGCCCTGGCGTGTTCGTTTCAGTGGCGACGAGGATGGGATAAAAGCGGTGCGGCAACTCCGTCCGTCATGACCGCCGCATGACGACGAGGCGAGCGACGAGGCGAGCGACAAGTGGCCCGCGTACCAGGTTCGGCTGGAAGCCTTCTTTGAGGGAAATGGCATCACGGAAGACAACAAGAAGCGGGCCCTGCTGGTGACTGCACTGTCCACCCACACCGTCGACGTACTGAGCGGACGTTGTGCTCCGGATAAGGTGAATGAACTTTCGTACCCACAAGTGATAGCCTTGCTTAAGCAGCACTTCTCGCCGCAACCGAACGAGATAGCACAGTCTTATAAGTTCTTCACCCGCAATCAGCTGCCCGGCGAACCGGTCAAGGATTTTGTCGTGGCGATTCGACAGATAGCGGACACCTGCAATTTTGGTGCTTCGTTGGACAGAATGCTACGAGATCGCATCGTGTGTGGTCTGCACAACGTCGGAGTGCGTCGGCAGCTACTCGCGAAACCACAGCTGACGAGGAGCGAAGCGGAAGAAATTGCGATGTCTACCGAAATGGCCGAGGCCAACGCGCAAGAGATAGTAAGCCCCACCGCTGAGGCAAGTGTGCATGCGCTGGGAGGCCAGTCCTATCGCCCACGAAGCCGGCCACAGATTGTTGGGTGCTACCGCTGCGGAGCAAAAGGGCACGGACCCGAGGATTGCCGCTTCCGCTCGGCGTCATGCTTCAAGTGTAAACAACGAGGTCATATCGCTCGAGCCTGTTGCCGCCGTGAGAGTGGGTTCGGGGTGGTACCACCAGAACGCCAAGTACACGCCTTGTCGCGGGAGGAAGACACTGGCACGGACGGTATGTTCGCGCTGGAGGCAGTGGACAGTCACATCGGCCACGTCGGCATTACGCAACCCATCGTGCGCACCTTGGATTGTGGTGGGGTTCCAGTGAACATGCAGGTCGACACAGGCTCACCGGTTTCGGTCATCACGTGGCCCACATATGAGCGGAACAAAACAGTGTGGCCGAAGCTGCGTGGTTCGCCATTGAAACTCACCTGCTTCCTGGGACGGCTTCCAGTGCGGGGACAACTTCAGCTCAAGGTTTCGTGCGGAAACAAGTCGACGGCTGGATCTTTGCAAGTCCTTGGTTGCTCCGGCCCAAACCTCTGCGGACGCGACCTGATTCAAGCGTTCCACATGCTCGAGGCACCGGTAATGAACGTGAACACGTCAGGTGAGCAACTGCCGTTACTCGGTGCTGACGACGTTAACGTGGACCGGTTGCTAGCAGAATTCGCTGATGTGTTCGCGCCAGGTTTAGGGCTCATAAAAGGGCCACCGGTACACTTCGAGACGCGAGAAAACGTGGTGCCGAAGTTTTGGAAAGCACGCGAAGTTCCGTATGCTTTTCGGCCAAAGGTCGACGCGGAACTGGACCGCCTTTCGGGCGCGGGTATTATTGTACCGGTGCCTCATGCGGAGTGGGCGGCGCCAGTGGTACCGGTAGTGAAACGGAATGGCTGCATCCGCCTTTGCGGCGATTTTAAGCTAACGGTCAACAAAGCCTGTCGCACTGAGCAATATCCGTTGCCACGGGTGGAGGATATCCTGGCTACATTAAATGGCGGTGAAGTTTTTACCACGATAGACTTGCGGGAGGCATACAACCAGCTTCCGTTGGATGAGGAAGCCATGCAACTCGCGACCATAAACACGCATAAGGGACTGTTCAGCTTTACTCGCCTGCCTTTTGGAGTGGCGTCCGCGCCGGCCGTGTTCCAACGGCGTATGGAGACCATTTTGCAGGGACTTCCGGGTGTTCAGGTCTACCAAGACGACGTCATCGTGGCAGAGAAACGCAATGACTGCACCACCCTGCACGAAGTATTCAAGCGTTTCCGGGAATACGGCGTGCGCCTGAACGCAGACAAGTGCAAGTTCCGCCAACTAGAGGTGGATTTTTTGGGGCATCGAATCAGCGCTCGAGGTCTTCAACCAAAGACGGAAAACATAGACGCCATCCTTAAGGTTCAGGCACCACGGAATTCCGCAGAATTAAGGTCCTACCTCGGCATGGTAACGTACTACCACAAGTTTCTTCCCAATGCATCGACCGCCATGGCACCCCTATATCAACTACTCCGGAAGGAAGCTAAGTGGAAGTGGGATACCGCTCAACAGCAGTCATTCAGCAGTGTGAAAGACCTTCTGAAATCCGCAGACTTTCTGGCGCATTTTGACCCACACAAGCCGCTAGTCCTGGAATGCGATGCCTCCCCGGACGGAATAGGCGCAGTGCTTTCACACGATGTCGGGGGCGGAGTACTTCGGCCCATAGGGTTCCGCTCTCGGTTATTGACTGGAGCTGAGAAAAATTACTCGCAGCTGGAGCGTGAAGCCTTGGCACTTGTGTTTGGTGCGTCGAAATTCCGACAATACTTGCTCGGCAATACTTTCACATTGATGACGGACCATAAGCCGCTTGTTGCACTTTTTCACCCAGACAGGCCAGTGCCCGTGATGGCCGCTGCGCGAATCCAGCGGTGGGCCCTGCTGCTGAGCGCCTACGATTACGTCATCAAACACCAGCCGGGAAAGACAACATTCCAGCCGATGCCCTCAGCCGACTCCCCACGTCAGCAACTTCCCAGCCAGAGACGCAGGAAGAAACTGTGGACGGTGAGTATGTCCTGCTCACGGAGACCCTCAATGATGGTGTCATGTCTGCGAAGCAACTGGGCACTCTCACGGAGCTTGATGACGATTTAGCAAAGGTGCAAAAATGGGTGCAGGAGGGATGGCCAAGAAATTTGGGGCCTAAGGACCAGCACTTGATGCCATACTTCAACCGGAAAGCTGAGATAACGGGGAGTTATGGGCTTCTATACTGGGGCCATCGAGTGATCGTCCCTAAGAGTGCCCGAGCAGTGATGTTACGTCTGCTGCATGATACTCATCAAGGGATTTGCTCAATGAAGCGGCTAGGGCGCTCCTTGATGTGGTACCCCCGGATCGATAATGACATTGAGCACATGGTTAAGTCCTGCACCAGTTGCATCCAAGCTGCCCCTATGCCCCCAAAGAAACCCCCTGTTGCGTGGCCAGAAACGGATGAGCGTTGGTCGAGGCTGCATATCGATTTTGCGGGGCCGATCGATGGTCACATGCTACTGATTGTGGTGGATTCACATAGTAAGTGGATAGAAGCGATACCCATGAAGAGTTCCACCACACACGCCACCATAGAGGCTCTGCGCACCTTGTTCAGTACATTCGGGTTGCCCCGGACGCTGGTATCCGATAATGGCCCACAGTTTACGAGTTGGGAATTTAACACCTTCACGAAGCTGAATAACATAGTACACCTCCGAACAGCACTGTATCACCCCCAGTCCAATGGGCTCGCGGAGCGGGCGGTTCGTACGGTGAAGTATTCATTGAAGAAGAATGTACAAGGGTCACTGAAAACCCGCCTGGCTAGGATTTTGCACAGGTACCGCAGGACGCCGCAGGCCGGGGGCCGGACACCAGCGCAACTCCTAATGGGCTACGATCTTCGCTCCAGGCTGGACAACGCAGTGTCCATTCCGCCCTCACCAGTTGACCGTCCCCCCCTCGATGGGTGGCAGCCCGGGGAGCCAGTCTGGGTGAGGAACTTCGGGCGAGGCGAGCCGTGGACTCCAGCCAGCATTACATCGACAGACGGAGCCCGCCTGGTGAATGCCGATGGTCCGGAGGGGGAAACCATTAGGCGCCACAGCGACCAGGTGAAGCCACGGGAGTTGGAGCATGACCAGGGAGAAGTCGGTGACTCTCGGTGCCTCGAAACTGCCGGCGGGGCCCTAGCAGGAGGAACACCGAGGCGAGCGCCAACAAGGAGCGGGATCGCCGGGAGCCCCTCAACTCCGGTGTTGCGTCGCTCGGGCCGGCAACGCAAACCCCCAGACCGTTACTCACCGTAGGGGGAGCGGAATGATGTATCCGTGACGTCACGCCAGCCGAAGCCGCCGTTATCACCACTGCTTCTTCTCCTTCCCTTCCCCTTAACCCCTCTCGCACAACGCTACATTAACCCGCGCTATCGCAATAAAGCTTTTTGTCTTGGCCCAGCCACGGCCCTGGCGTGTTCGTTTCAAATACGATATACGTATCACGACTCACGCGCGAATACACGCACCGCGCATGTTAAGTACATTCGTAACGGCCTACTATCGCGATGCGTGAACGGCGCGGAAAGCATGACTTTCGACCCGGTCGAACTGCGACATGCCTTGACTGTCACTAGGCGAATCTACATGTGCTTTCGGCTGGCGTCACCGTCGCATTTTAAAATCTTGTTCTCGCTGGCACTTTTGCACCGCGCGTGTGTTCCGAGTGCCCGGCAGAACTGGAAATCGATACACATCCGGTGCATGAGCGTAAGTTCGAACCATATTCTAACGCCGCGAGCACGCTATGAGCGTGGTATGTTGTCATGTTCTTACATGACACGCGTGTCAGATTATCATGTTTCCAACAGTCATATATTTAGTCATCCATTGACATCACGTAAAACCAAATTTAGTATATGTGACGCTAGCCAAATGGCTGTGAGCGCATCATGAGCGTGGCATGTAGTCATGTTGTTACATGACACGCATGTCATCGTTTCATGTCAGGATCTGTCGCTTGTGTTTGCCATGCAATCATGCCATACCATACTAGTTTTGTAACATGCCATGTGAACGAAACCATTGCAACAGCTGAAGGACCATGAAATGTAAATCATGACATTGATGACATACATGTCATGATTTTCATGTTATGACTAGTCAAATATATTCTTAATACATTCATGACATACATGTCATGATTTTAATGTTATGACTAGTCAAATATGTTCTTAATACAGTCATGTTATGTCATACCAAGTTTGTTATTATCGAAACCATTATCAGAACGGCCACGACAGCTAAATGTCGTAGGCGGCTAGATAGATAGATAGATAGATAGATAGAGATATAGATAGATATAGATAGATAGATAGATAGATAGATAGATAGATAGATAGATAGATAGATAGATAGATAGATAGATAGATAGATAGAGATGATAGATAGATAGATAGATAGATAGATAGCTAGATAGATAGATAGATAGATAGTAGATAGATAGATAGATAGATAGATAGATAGATAGATAGATAGATAGATAATAGATACGCTCAAGTCGCCGAAGTTCGCCAAGAAATGCTTCGCATTTAAAACTCACCGGAACGCGCAAAACACCAGCAGCTGAACCACGAAGAGATGCACATTACAAAAGACGCGGCGGAGAACGCTGTTTCCGCGAACGCGTGACGAATGCACAATTTTCCAGCGTACCACGTCGTCGTTTTGGAATGTAGACTCCTCGATGACGTCTGAACTTGTGGTCGACTGAGCAGCCACGTGAGGAGCGTCAGATGCAATATTTCCACCTGAGACGCCTCCCTAATGAGGTGTCTTGTCTGGCGAGGGCTCGGCCTGCTGTTCCTCAGGCCACCGGATGCGGGGAACTTGAGTTTTCGGAACCTGGAGGGATTACCAGGTCCGGAATCGTTGGGGATGCAGTGGGTGTCTGGTGCAGCATCGCGATTGGCGCACTTTGGTCGTGGTTAGTTACTGCGCGTTGACGAACCGTGACACCTGTTCTTAGACGGCGTTCCTGGCTGAAGTGGAGGGAAATCCTTAGACGCTGCCTCGGAATACGATGGCCTTATGGTTTAGGTGACGGTAGCATGCGGGTCCCCGCAACGGCGAAACAGAAGCGAGCAGCCTTTCCCGTCGTAACCAAAACGCCGCACTTTCCACAAAACGGAGCTGTGCAGTTCATGCGGAAGTGCCCGCTGCCTCTCCATCGACGGCGCACTCTTTATAATAACAGGTCACTTTATTCCTTTATAGTCACAGGTCACTCGATGGTCTGCGACCTTGAGGTAGTTGGGCAGCGGTGACGATGCCTTCATTTCCATGCGGCCATATCGCGTCCCAGTGGTCATGGATGGGCGCGAACCCATGAGTTTTCGGGTGATATGCAACACCTCACCATATGAGGACAGGGCTTGTGCGAGGACTTCGCAAGGGACACGGCACGGCAGGAACATGACATTTACTTGGGAGACATGGGGTCCTAGGGGTACGATGGCGACGCCCTCTCCTCGGATGCTGAGGTGTGACGAGTCCACGATTTGAGCCAAGGCGGCTTCGCTGTTCACGGTGACTCAATATTTCCGGCCTCCGAAGTGCTGCACAAACCATACTTCTTCGATTCCTACTATTGACATGTCGCGCCAACGACGTCTTCAGGACTTGCCCCCTTAGGGACGACGACATAGAAGGGTAACGTCTTCTTCGGTGGCTGGCTCGCCATGATGGGCGCTCACCAGCCTAAGGACGCGTTTTAACGTGCTGCTTAGCTTGTCACCGAACTACTAACGCGAAAAAACTACCGCATATCTGCAAAGAGAATTCTCTGTACCCTGAACGGCACCAAAGTGTGTATGTGTGTATAGAAAAAGTGGTTAACGATTTAGATTATTAGGTACTCTACTATGGGAGAGCATAAAACCGTCCCGCGCAGGAGCTGCACACAGTTTATTCCGGTGTGTTCAGAGAAAATGCTTAAGGATTTCGAGTACTTCGTACTCAACTATGGGAGACCACTTAACCGTCCCGCTAAGAGCCTTCTGTATTTAGAAAAAGTGTGTTTCGAAAAAGTGGTCAACGATTTAGAGTACTAGGTACTCTACCATGGCAGAGCTTAACACCGTCCCGTAGGCCTGTATATGAAGTGTTTAAGAGAATTTTTTTTCTGATAAATCATACATACACAGAAGACATTTATGTGTTACATTGTTCGTTCTCACGACATGCTAATATATCTTAATATACACTAAAATGCGCAACAAGAATTGTTTGTACCTGTAAACAGAAATTAACGATTTCGAGTGTTTAGAAAACGTTTATTCTATCATGGGACGTACTCACCTAAGGAACGAGCGTCTGTACAACAGACACAATGACAAACAAAAGACAAAGCACAACATACATTACACATTTAAACAAAAGTGTCCAAGTCCATAGGAGTCCATAGTTTATGGTACTAATAACTACACACACTACATATATACACTAATCACAATATGGACAATGTACATGATGATACATGTGCACAATTTGCAAGACTTGGTGAAGATGTTATAAAAATATGTACAACAAGTATCAATATTCATAGAAGTTACATAACTTACAGCGTTAGAATGAAGTGCATATATAGAAGAGCTCACACCTATTTGGGACATACACAAACACATAGAAATAGTAAACACATACTGATTACATGCACTAATCAGACATTGACATGTGGCCTGGCTATAGGAACCAGGCCAGGTGGAAGTCTAATCGAACGCGCCTGTCAACTACGGACAGAAAGCGGCATGACCATCGTCACGCAGAAATTCTTCCTCCCCAAGGAAGAACAATTCCTCCGACAGAAACGATAAGAGTTCAGAGTAGAGGCGTTCCAGAATTGGAAAAAGAGCACGACGACGATGACCTGCCGCAACAGCTTCGCACCTATTACGCCATAAACAAAAAGCTCCCGCAGCTATTAGAAAGCGTGCAAAGCGACTACGCGAGCAGCGACCAGATGTTACAAAGCGATTAGCACCTAGGCCACGAAAACTAGTGTTAGCTGACTTCCGAAACACCTTTGCAATGACACAATGCTGCAGCATATGCTGGTTAGACTCCTGTAACGGGCAGTTTGGACAAGTGGAAGATGGGATCATGCCCCACTTATCCAGTCTGCCCATGTTGGGAGTACTCTCCATTCAAGACGCCACATAAAGTCACGGAGGTGACCAGGCGAAAACGATGCCGTTATCGCGCTCCACGAGACACGCCTCGTTCGTGCTAGACGGGCTGGAGGAACAAGAGGAAGCAGAAGAGCCGCCGTTGTATCTACAATGCGACTTTCAAGAATGTCCACATCGGGACAAGCCTGCTGTGCGTGTCGATAAAATGCTACTGCCGTTGAGTAAAATGCAGGCACGTTAAGTTTTTGCGGTGCTGAATTAAGCCGTGCATCTGGAGTAAATAGCGTAACTTGGTGCCTAAGAAATAGCAGGCAAGATCACGCGCGGGGCACTGATCACCGTGCAACAACCGAAGTAAGAATCGTAGGGCAAGCAGCCGGCAGCGAACAGAGACGGATGGGAATGCGAATCCACCGCAGTTTCTCGGTTGCCCAAAAGCTGCTCGTCAAATCAGCTCTGTTCCACCCGACCAGAAAAAAGAGCCAACGAGGGATTGCAACGACTTAGTGATTCGTAATGGGGGCTGTAAGACATGAGATATGTACCATGCACGGCCGCAAAACACCATCTGTGCTAAATACCTTCTTTCCAGCATCGGTAAATCATACTCTTGTGCTTCCCGGACGTGTCGTTTTACATCTTCGACTACTGAATTCCACAAGGAGGCTGATATGCCGTAGCAAGTATAATCAAGCCCCAGAATGCGAATGGAGTCACTTTTTTGAAGACCAAAAAAGGGACTTAGGCAGGCGTCTGGGGAACCAATGAATAAATATCGACATTTTGAAAAATTTAACGCAGCACCTGAAATCGTGCCATACGTAGCAAAAAGTCGTAGGCTACGGGATAAACTGTTCTCATTCTTTAAACACAACGTGGTGTCATCAGCAAATGCTGTCACCGTCACGGTACCACTACCTGGAAGAGGAAGGCCTCTAACGTAAGGATCAGCGATTAGCGATTGAAGGAATGGTTCGAGGCTGAGTACAAAAAGTGCAGGGGATAAAAGACACCGCTGGCGAACACCACGGGTAACAGGAAATGGCGCACTCTCTAAGCCATCAAGAAACAACGTGCTGCGTATATTTCGGTATGCGTTTCTGAGAAGGTCAACGAAGTTTTTGC